GGGTTTAGGGTTTGGGGTTTACGGGGGAAGTCGTAGCAGGTTTTGGCTTTGGAGCATTGGGCGTAATCATTTCGGATATGACTCGTGGGGGTGGTCAAAGCTTTGGGGCTTGGGAATTGGAAGGTCTTGCTGTAGGATTGGAAGGCCCTTGGTGCTGTCGTTTGTTTAAGGTTTAGGGTTTACCTTCAGAGCCCCAAACCTACTTTCTTGTAGGGTCCCTATAAATCCCATATTAGGGTTTATAATAAGAACCTACAAAAAAAGTGGGTTTTGGGTTCTTAAGGTAGGGCCTTTGGGGCCAGGATTTAGGGCTTAGGGTTTAGGGGTCAGGGTTTAGGGTTTAGGGTTCAGGGTGCTGTGGGACTTCAACGGTTTTAGGGCTTGCTATGAAGAAGCGGTAGGTTAACAAAGCACAGCCCGGGACAGCTCTTCAACCCCTGTGACTGTAAACACCCTGTATAAACCCATTGAGTTAGAAATCTTCGCAAAACAGTTGGACGGAAGCACCCTAGCAAAACGGACCCTAGCACAGCCGCACAAAAAGAAAAGACCGAATTCAACACCAGTGTACGCTAATCCTGGACCCCGAACTCTGAACCCCTGAAACCCGCAGCTCTCGAACCCTAACCCCTAAACCCCAACCCTAAACCTAAGCCCTAAACCCCTTTTTTGTCTGCCGCGGACCAGGCCTTGGGGGTTCTTTGGACACCCTGGGAGCCTTATCCCCAGGGGCGGATGGTTTCCCTGCAGCGTAAGCACCTAAACCTAAACTCTATAGGGGTTTAGGGGTTTAGGGTTTAGGGTTTTAGCGGTTGAGGGTTTGGGCTTTAGGGCCCTCAGCCCTAAGCTGTCATTCTCTAGACACAAGCCAAAACGCTACCCGCATCCCTTGGTAAGAAGTCCTGACATTTGAAGAAGCATCTGGAGCCGCAAGAACAACAACCTGGGTTTTTGAGGAACATGATCACTTATGGCAAGCCATAGTATGAAAACCGTAATAGTTCTTATTCACCTATCCTTCCCGATTATGGTAGCCGAAAAACTAAAGTTTGAATGCAAGCACCCAACAGGAGGCCCCGAGAACACATTCGGGAATCCAGCGGTTTGTGATCACCGTACTTGGAGGTTCATGGGTAGTTATAAGTGGGGTTAGAAGTCCCCTAATATGAGCTACAACTATAGTTACCCTACTTATAACCCCACTTCTAACTACCCCTAGACCCTAAACCCTAAACCCTATATAAACCCTATAGAACCCCTTAAAGGAACCCACTTATAACTACCCATGAACCTCCAAGTAGGAGTCCTTGCACCATCAGCCCCCAAACCACAAGCAGGGTTGCTTTAGGTTTTAATCTACAGCCCGAAAGTGCTAACCCCTGGGTCCTAGGGGAACCCTAAACCCTAAACCCTTTTGAACCCTAAATTCTATAAACCCTAAACCCTGAGATCGCAGATCCCATCTGTGAGCATTCTACACCCGAAGTTCCCTGAACCCGCAGCCTTTACGGACTTAAAGATCCCCTGGCGAACCCCACACCCTGAGCTCTAAACCCGAAAGCTTCTAGGGACATCCTCCTTTTGGGGCCTAGCTTGCTACCAGTACTATTTTGGGGGGCTGCGTCAAAACTGATAGTTATAGCAGATATAGCCCGCCCTATTCTAATTACTAAGGCCCCTATACCACTTGGAGGTTCATGGGCAGTGATAAGTGGGGTTATAAGTAGGGTAACTATCTATAGCTATAAGCCATATTTGGGGACTTATAACCCCACCTATAACTACCCACGAACCTCCAAGCAAGCAGGAGCTTGCTGCCCTCTACGCTTCGCTACTGCCCGGGGCACCCGGGCCTCTGCTCCAACCCGAGACCGTCCGGCAGATCACGGCTGTGGCGCGGGAAGGCTGGGATTCACCGGGGGTCTTTAGGGCTCATAGGGTTTAGGCTTGAAGGGCTTGGGCTAAAGGCTTTAGGGTTGCTGAAAGGGTTGGTTGCATGTTGGTGTGTACGTCGTTTTCCAAAAGTCTTGCAGGAGTTGCGTCTTGGGAGTGTGGGGGTTTCTGATATGAAGTAGAACGAGGCTTCGGAGACCCCAGTCTTGGCTTCTTGAGGCATCTACGACGAGCTGCAGGGGGTAGACACTCCATGGTCGCTGGGCTTCGCGGTGAACTGCATCCTCTCAGGAGCCACGCTGACCCTAAATCCTCAAACCTTAAACCCTCACACCTTAAACCCCAGACCCCAAACTTCAGACGCCAAGCTTCTCTCCGGATCCCGCAGACCTCAAACCCTAACAACCCACAGGGCCCCATAGTAGTTCCTTTTTTGGGGGTTCATATTTAGAATCCTATAAGGTAATCCCAAACAGGAACTACTATGGGGCCTATGGGAACATCCCTAAACCGGAAACCCTTAACACCTAAACCCTAAACCCTAAACCCCTAAACCCTAAACCCTAAACCCTAAACCCACCTTTCCTTGGAGCGCTCCGTCAACATCCCGTCTCATCCCCAACCGAATCTCGAAACTGCCCAAAAAACCATTCAAAAAACACCAAGAAACCCCCAAACCGCGTAATGTAGGGGCCTTGATAATTAGAATAAGTAGGGTTTTGGGGTATATTATATACTATAACCTTAATAAGGATAGAATAAGTAGGGTTTTGGGGTATATTATACTATAACCTTAATAAGGATCCACCAAAATAGAACTAGTAATTATTTAGGCCCCTATATTATCCTGTGCCCCAAACCATCACATAGATCCACAAGCATGCGCCCCAAGCCCCCACACTTGAATGGTTAATTACTGATAATTACTGGAGCCGACAGCCTCGAATTTTCAGGACGGCATGCCTCGCCAAACGCATTTGGCCATGGTGGTTCGCAACCCGTCTGAACGTAGTGAGGCCTAGCATAAGAAGCATGGCAACAACCATAAGTAATCATCATGACAACGGAGGTGATACTGTACATGCAGTTAGTTGGGTACATTCGATGTTTCGAATCTTTACTGGCACGAGTCTCACGAGAGCAGCAATAATTCGTGAAGGAAAGCAGCCGCCGAACCACCGCCAGCACCACCACAGTCGCCGCCACCAGAACCGCCAGTAATACTGGACAATGGCAGGACGACTCTAGCATGAACAGGAAAACCAAAGGAGGACACAGAAGGGGTGTTGGAGTGTGAGCGGATGAAAACGAAATCCCAATTCACTGCTGCTCTGCTACAGCCGCTGCTGCTGCTCCTGCTGCTCGCCCATCTTGCAATCCTATAACAAACTTTAGGCAAACCCCTTCCTAAATAAACCCTTTTCAAGCACTTAACAGACCCTTATGAAGCCCTTACAAGGCCCTGCTAAGCCTCGCAAGATCCCCAAACCCCTGAACCTATAAACTCTGAACCCCTAAACCCTAAATTCCTAAACCCTAAACCTTAAACCCCGAAAACCCTTAACCCTAAACCCTAAACCCCTAAACCCCCAAACCCCCTGAACCCCCTAAACCCTAAACCCCTAAACCCCTAAACCCTAAACCCCTAAAACCTAAACCCTTAAACCCTAACCCCTAAACCCCTAAACCCCCTAAAGCCTTAAACCCCCTAAACCCTTAAACCCCTAAACCCTTAAACCCTAAACCCTAAAGCCCTAAACCCCTAAACCATCTCTTACCTATATATGCATATATATATTTATATTTATATTTAAGGCTTAATTATTTAAGGCCGTGTCTAAACCAGGTTTAGGCCCACCCTAAACCCCTAAACCCTCAACCCTTAAACCCTAAACCCTAAACCCCTAAAGCCCTAAACCCCCTAAACTCCTAAACCTTCTATGACCCTAAACCCCCCAAACCCTAAACCCTATGCCCCTAAAGCCCTAAATCTCTAAACCCCTAAACCCCTAAACTCGTAAACGCAATAGACCCCTAAACTCCTAAACCTCCTATGCCCCTGAAGCCCTGAACCCCTAAACCCCTAAACCCTAAACCCCTAAAGCCCCCTAAAGCCCGCGAAGGCAGAGCTCCTGGGCATTTGCAGACCCCGAGCATGGCCTGGCGGTGTGCTGCCTCTGCAACGGCGGTGAGCTTAGACGGCGGAGGGTTTAGGGTTTAGGGTTTAGGGTGGGTTTAGGGGTTTAGGGTGGGTTTAGGGTTTAGGGTTTAGGGGTTTCGGGTTTAGGGTTGAGGGGTTTAGGGGTTTAGGGTTTAGGGTGGGTTTAGGGGTTTAGGGGTTTAGGGGTTTAGGGTTTAGGGTTTAGGGTTTAGGGCCACGCTTCCTAGGTGATTGCGAACCTGGAAACTCAAAGCCACGCAACACATCAACCCCATGGACCTCTGCAAAGCCC